TCTGCACACATGGGGCCACATGAGTTGGAATCAACTCATTAGTAATAGCAGTTGTGAAGTAACTATTTGTTCTAACTACTTTAAGTTTTTCAAAATTAAATACAGTTAGTTAATGCTTCAATGATATATGACAGAAGTGAGTATTTAACATTCAAAAAATGTGGAAATCATCACCATACACCATCAAAGAGGTTCTTAAAATTAACAAATATGTACAAATATGCCATAGTCTTCTAGAAAGATAGAACCCAACTTTAGTCACTGAATTAGTTTTACAACAATTAACTCCTTACTTTTTCCCATTATGTACATACCTTCCCCAACATAATCATTCCTTCCATAAATGAACAGGCTATAGCCACATTGTTTTTCCAAGACTTCAGGCAAGATTTTAAACACAAAAATATCTGAGTTAGAAGTGGATCCTTCTGCAATGGTCTTTGGATACAATATATAAGCATCATAGATTTTTCCATCTGAAGCTAAAGGGAAAATAGGATATATTTGAAAAATAAAAGATTTGACAAAGTCAATATCACAAATATGCATTTCAATACCGAAAGTATAACACCTTGTTAAAATGTTAATCTCTTATAAGATTTCTAATTATTGTCTTTTACTACAAAGTTGTTTTTATATTGTATTAGATGTCTTTACTTCTCATTATGGAACTATCCTTATCTCTGTTAGTGTCTCCTTCCCTAAATGTCATAACTCTAGATTTTATATTTTGCTCATTTTCCTAATGATTATCTTTTTTAATCATTCTCTCTAGAACCAAAATTCCACAAGTTTCTTCCTAGCTCCACCCCCTATATTTACTAATGGTCTTTTGTCTCCCCTTATTTAAAATTTAAGAAGTTTTTTTCTTTTACACATCAGCTCAAATAGTCATCCACAGAAGCTGAACATTTCACTTAGAACTAAGAAGAATATTCTTATCCTTTTGTACATCATTGTGATGTTCATTTGTTATAAGATTTTCATACATGTTATCAGGATAATATGGGAGAAATACTCCATGATCAATATTTGTACAACTTCAAAAAGAGCAGTTTTGTACTAATTATGAAACTATAATTATATATAAGAATAACTGCTATCCTAGTCTATGCCACATTTCACTTTAATACTTAAATAAAAATCCTCTTCATCATCTTCCACATCTCTTAACTTTTCCCTATCTCTAACAAGAAAATGTTGCATAAAATGCAAAATTATACCTTTTTCTGAGAGAAAAGCATAGCAATAATCCCTGTACCAAAGCACAATGTCAACCTTGAAGATTTTATAGATGAAAATGGAGCACGTAATTACTGCTGTCAACATGACAAATATCCCAATCACGTGGTTCTGGCAATCATGGACTACAGCAGAAAAGAGAGAGAGAGAGAAAAAAAAAAAAATATATATATATATATAGGCACTAAAGAATTAAAAGTTTGAGCATAGATAATTAAACATCTCCATCTCAGAAAAACCATATTTGGAATTGGTCTATGTTCAGACAGTATAGCCCTTTCATTATTCCCACTTAATAATGGGAGTTCTGGTAGCATAGTGGCTAAGACACTTGCCTGCTAACCAGATGGCTGGCGGTTCAAACCCACCAGCCACTTCTCGGAAGGAAGGTTGGGCAATTCTACTTCCGTAGTGATACTGCCTCGGAAACCCAAGGAGGGGTCGCTATGAGTCGGGTTTGACTCGACGGCACATAACAACAACAACAACAACAATGTACAAAGCAATCTAGCATGGATACTATATAAAATTAAGGTATGTTCTATCAAATTTCCATCTATGTAGCATAATGTATAATACATAGAAAAATATCAAAGACTATGGATAGAGCACTCTATAGTAAAACAAATAAGAGTCAAATTCACTCAAAAACCTATAAAAATTCTCAGTAGTAGGAGAGTCAGGTGGTGAAAGCTGAGGCTAATGCAAAGGACATAAGGGGGGTTTAGGGACACCACATGGGATGTTTCACATTTCCACAGTCTCCTGGCATCTCCATATAACCAGGGGTAAAGGAGAAAAAGGAAGGAGGAGGAGACGAAAGAAAATAGAAGGAAGAACAAAGTGTCTTCTAAATGTCTGGAACCATGTAAGCATGCAGAATAGAAAACCTAAAAGCTTTATTATTTTACTTTTCTAATTTAGAGATTTGATCCATCTGGAATCGATTTTGGTATGAAATAGAAATCAAGATATTCCATTTTGACCCAACTGATAGTAAATTGATAGTAATTTACAATTCTTGTAGCTTTAAGCAAAATTGTGATATATCTGATAAAGGACTTATCTCCAAAATCTATAGAAAACTTCAACACCTCAACACCAAAAAGACAAACAACCCAATTCATAAATGGGCAAAAGACTTGAACAGATACTTCACCAAAGACAGTATGCTGGCAGCCAACAAACACATGAGCAATTGCTCGTGATCAATAGTCATCAGAGAGATGCAAATCAAAACAACGATGAGATATCATCTCACCCCAGCAATAATAGCAAAGTTCAACAGGGCAGAAAGTAACAAATTACTGGCTGGTGAGGTTGCCGAGAGATTGGAAGTCTTGTGCACTGCTGGTTGGGATTGTAAAATGGTATAACCATTCTGGCATACAGTATGGCGTTTCCTTAAAAAATTGAAAACAAATACCATTTGACCCAGCAATTCCATTACTGGGAATATATCCTAAAGAGGTGAGAGGCAACACACGAACAGACATATGCACAGCTATGTTCACTGCAGCACAATTCACTATAGCAAAGAGATGGAAACAACCTAAACGCTCATCAGTGAATGAATGAATAACCAAATTATGGTGCATTCACACAATGGAATACTATGCTACATTAAAGAACAATGAAGGATATGCGAATCATCTCACAACATGGATGAACCTGGAGGACATTATGCTGAGTGAAATAAGTCAGTCGCAGAAGGACAAGTACTGTATGAGCCCATTACTGTAAAAAGACAAAGAAAGGTTTGCTTGGGGAAGGGAACTCACTTTGTAGGTTACTGGGGTGGGGAGGGAAAGGGAGGGATTAATTTGGGGCTAGTTGGGGCCTACACACTGACGTGGGTAAGGGGAGGGAAGTATGGAAAGAGTCTGTGACCACCATGATAACATTAGGAAAGGGAGAACACTAAATTATGCAAACAGGAGATAGACAACAGATGCTAATACCAACCAGTGTGCCCACAATACTGTTTTACCATTAACACCAAACACCAGGCTACAGATAAACACATAAATACCTGAGAGGATCAGATGGGGGTTAGTGAACAGGAGTATACTCTAAGTATAGATTCAGTGGAGGCTAATCTTGCACAGATACCAGTGATACAAAATATCTGCAATCCTTTCAGAAACAACAGAAGACAGACATAGAATAATCCCTTAGACACCCAGACACTGTGGGAGAGAGATCCAATGGATCTACCATCTCAGGACCATAGTACTGGGGAACACAAGACTCAATTGGCTCAACAAAATACTTAAAAGGCTTGTTCCTCATCCTACATTGGTGAGTAGGGACTGAGGTCTTAATAGCTTTCAGGCGGCCATCTAAGATGCAGATAATGGTCTCCTATCATCAGAAGTGAAGAAGAATGCAAAGTAAACAAGGGTATTTGGAAGCAATCAGCCCTAGGACACGATGGCCCTCGAGACCAGAAGAACTGGATGGTGCCTGGCTACCAATGCCAACCACTCAGGAAAGGATCAAATCTGGAGATCCTGGATA